CTTACTAATGAGGGCAAAAAGTACGTCGAACCTAGTACGTTTGCCAGTGATGTTTTGGAACCTTACTAAGAATTTAGAAGAGACTATCCTTAAAAGAGCAGACATAACCGACTGGTAAACTATAGACCAACTCTTCCACAATATGGAGCTGTAAAACGGCCCGGCAACGGAAATGTCGATGTGAATGCGAGATGTCATTGGTAAATGGACATTTGACGAGAACTTGATTAGACGGCTCTTCTTGTATGAGCTTTCTCAACATGTGCATGCAATCCTTGTCTCATTTCAAAGTAACGTTGAAGATGAGTTGGCTGCATCCGTTGACCCGATTCTGAAGATCAACATAACTCCTAACGCCGAGGTTTATTCTGTCAATGAAAAGACTTAGACAAGACAAAAACGGCGCTACAGACCTTTATCCTATTCTTACTTGTTATCTGAATATCCATCAAAACAGTATACGCTCTCAAAATCCTCAAAGAAGCTTGTCACGAAAAATATCTTTTTCTAGACTACGAAAGACAGATTATCCTTATTGCTAACCGTACCACAATAAGTACGATAAATCATCTACAAGTTGCAGAAGGCCTTGCAGTTTCCCAAACTTCAAACCGTTCATCACAAAAAACCTCTCAGGAAGCCTATCTGATGGCACGCGCTAACGACAGACGTAGCCACTGAACACAGATGTCTGTGAAACATCACCGACGTGATGACGAAATTTCGCTATCAAGTTGACGCTGAACCAGTGTTTAAGGTTCTTCCCGTGAATCTTAACGACTGACCGCACGAACCAGCAAACGGGAAACCCATTACAACTTGCATTAAGAGATAATTGCATCTTAACGTGGGTACCAACAATTAGACTACTCCCGAAGCTAGAAAATCTTGATATTGTCAGATCTCTCTTAAAATGGCTTAAGGATTTCCTAGTAGGTCGTAGACAGAAAGTAAGAGTAAATTCGAAGTGCTCCACCTGGAGACCAGTACTGGGTGGAGTACCTCAATGTTCTGTCCCGGCTCCTCTACATTTGTGCTATATCTAAATGATCTCCCAAGTATATTAGAGTCCGCAATGTTATTATACACTGACGGTGCGAAAAGCTGGCGGGAAATAACGGTAGACGCAGATGCATGAGCACTTCAGACAGACTGAAATATTGTGATTAACTGGTCTAAAGAAGCCGTTGCTCATCAGTGCGGCAAAGTGTCTACATGAACTTTGGGGATACAAAAGTAAATAGGTACAACATGGGGAAGTGCCTGTACCCGTGGTCCAATCCCAAGGATTTCCGGGTGACAGTGAGTCATGATCTTAAGACCACGACCCATCACCAGGAGGCTGCAGCTAAGGGGTTTAGAATCCTACGGACTTTAAGACGGACATTAACTAAGTTAGATACTACCATCTTCACTACAGTATACACAACCTTAGTGAGAACTAAGCTTGAGAACTGAGTTCAGGCTGCAAGCCTCTGTTTAAAAGGTGACTAGGATATCTAGGAAACAGTACCAAGGGCAGCTGCCCTTGCAATTTCAGAGCTCCGAAGTTTACCATCCAAAGAGAGACTTGACCTCTTTACTCTGTCCTATCGCAGACTAAGAGGTTATTTGATTTTGACGCATATAATACTAAGAAATGATTTTGGAATTAAAATATTCTCTCCTTTTCTTCCCACTAGTGTGGGACATCTCAGAGGACATAGCAGACGAGTAGAAAAGCCAATAACTAATAAAATGCTCGTGACATACAGTTTTTCACATCGAGGCATCAGTTCTTGGAACCTGTTACCCGAAGCAGTGGTGTCTACACCTTCAATTGACTGATTTCAGAGAAGACTGGGCACTCATAGAAGCATACTGGGGAAGGAATAACATAGGCTATAAACCTTCTGTCCTTACTACACAAATCTGAAATCTGAAACTAGCGCGAATGTTTGTTTTATTCGTCATACATAGTCGTGGATTATTCAGTTTGTGTGTTGCCACGTGTTTGTTACTAATATCGTTGGAGAGTATCGTCTGAACTATGTCTTCTCTTGTGAACAATAGAGAAGAAGCACGGCCAGTCAGCACAAACACATATTTCTTGGTAATAGTGAAGCAAGTACGTCGCTCATACACTGATTTGTTCATTATAATATCAATATTTTTGCGTAGTTCAATAGTTTCTAACATACAAGTTGCAATTTTAGGTTTTCTCAGCATCACTATTTTCCTTTTATAGGTTTTATCAGGAGATACTATTATGATACGTGACAGACCCATAAACGGTCCTCCTCCAGAACGAACCATTATTTTGTCCAATATTTCATGTGGTCGCGTTGCTCGTAAGCCTTCAACGGGAGTTCCTACTGGGACATCAGAAGATCCGTTTGCCTGGGAAGCCAGAGAGTTTGTTCGTACTCTTTTAATCGGGAAAGAAGTTTGCTATTCTATCGAAACAGAACAACCATCCGGTCGCAAGTATGGATGTGTGTATGTTGGTACGTTCTAAGCTAGTTTATTTATCCTTACATCAGGGAAAAATATCAGTGGCGAAAATGTTGCTTTGTCCTTAGTGGAACAGGGATTAGCTGAAGTGAGAAAGCTAAATCCGACAGTAGCTGCCAAAAATAAAGTTTACCAGCAACTTGTAACTGCTCAAGAACAAGCAAAATCACTTGGTAAGGGTCGTTGGTCTCCCAACCCCCCTGTTACGAGGGAAATTCTTTGGTCAGTAGAGAACATTCGGAGCTTCTTCGAGAGCTACAAAAATCGACCACTTAAAGCTGTTGTCGAAAATGTTCGAGATGGCTGTTCTGTACAAGTCTTCATTCTGCCTGAATCCCTTAATGAAAGACCAAATACATTTGTATACCTTACTGTCACAATGTTAGGAATTAAATGTCCGTCAATACGTTATGAGGATGGAAAAATTGTGAGTTAGCATATCGTTGTTTCATGGTTTATAGGTTCCCGATGCGTGGGGTCTCGATGCGCTGTTCTTTACCGAATCCAGACTTCTGCAGAGAGACGTTACTATACTGTTGGAATCCGTATTCAATCAAACTTTCGTCGGGAGCATCCTTCACCCAAATGGGAATATAGCTGAGTTGTTGCTGCGTCATGGTCTTGCTCATTGTATTGATTGGAATCTGAACTTAGTAAGCGTTCCAGGTGCTGCTGAAGCCTATAAAATAGCTGAAAGATTTGCGAAAGAAAAACGACTACGCGTTTTTGAAAACTATCAGCCCACACAAACAGCTGAGGTACATTCAGACAGTCTTCCAACAGTTGTTCCAGGGAAAATATTCAGTGGGGTTGTAAGTGCTCGTTTAACTTTATTTGTACTGCTGTTCAATTTATATTTCTGAGTAAAAATCTGAATAGTGTAAATAGCTCTTAGTAAATATTAAAAAATTCTTCTCAGTACTCTGCAACATTAAATTTTGTAATTCATCGCACACGTATTTATTAAACTATAATGAGTCGCAAAATTCCCGTAAATTAAACATGTCAGTTGTTTGTACTTATATCACTGGTTTCTAGAATTTGAATTACAGATTTTCCAACATTCTTCACCACCATCTTCTTGAGTGGTCAAAAATCACTTCCACGATAGAATGTCAGTCAATTAGTCACCTACAAAGTAGGACCAGACACAAATGTATCGGTCCAAGTTGCCACACCACGTTAGCACAACGAGATGAACACTGAGTTCATTGACTTTCGAAGGGAGTATATACACTTACGCCATTGTGATCGATTCTGAGCCATGTCACCCAAAGTCTCCTGTCAAGATACAGTGTAACTCCTTCAGACTCTGAGCATCTATATTCAAACGAGGATCCTATCTCAATGATGTTGATGGAGTCTATCTTGTTACAGAATTCTCAGTATTTCTATATCGCAACAGGAATCTGTCCACTTCTCTCTCCAGTTTATCTAATCTTGTAGTGGCAATGCAACTACTACTAGTTGCGGACATCTTAGTCTGCACGAGTTCTCTGCCATACCTCAAACGATGCTGGCGATGTAGTTGACTTCAAAGGGTAACTTTTGGATTTCTGTTATCTTTCACAATTGTTTGCCCTGTGAAATATGTCTACATTTAACTGCGACCATCAACAGATGAGTCTTGTCAAAAACTTCATTTTCTCATCACTAAATGTCCACTATGAAACTCGACAAGCTTGGATTCATGTGGTGTATGCAGGTTAGTAACACTACCATTTAGACAATGTAATGTCAGACGTGGAGGGTAGCTCATCACGTTTGGCGAAATAGACAGGAAATCAAGTAATCGGATTAGCATTCCGACATTTTCGCATAGCATCGAGTACACATCCAAGATAAAGCATTGACGGGTTTCTTTGAAATCATGGACGGTCGTTTCGTCACAGTATGAAACCACTCAGCAGTGTGACATGTTTCTCCAGTGAGATCCGGATAGTTTGCTGGTAAAAGTTGCACTAATAAACAGTTGTTGACATGCACACCCCCCGTGCGGATTGCCTCGATATTGTCTCAAGTCACATGCTTTATAAAACAATATCGAGGCATCCACACAGTATGCACAAATGCCAATAAGAGACTAATCAGTTGCAGTCTTAAACGACAATGGGAAGATGCAGGCAAATAACAACACATGAAGTTAAACTTTACTCAAGTGCACACTCAGGACTTGTTAGCTAAGTGGATAACGTGATGGCGTTTGAAGCGAACGGTACTGGGTCCGAATCCCAGAATGAACATCAACTATGAAATTCAGGTACATACGACTGATGAGTTCAAAATGGGACAAAATGCGCGCCCTAGATTCCACTGCTTGCCACCATCTAAATCTGCTTATTAAGCTATACTAGTAGGTTGGAAAAATAGGTGACTTGGTTTTTGAAAGGTCATAACAATAACTTTATTTCGTTTAATTCTTTTCAAGACGTTGTCTCCTCTGGAGTTTCATTAGGTAGATTGTCTGAATAACTCTTCGTTGTCCTGAAGAAATGATTATTTGTTTTGCTGGACTGAGTATGTGCTTTCAAGGTTGAGTTGATGGGAGCGGTCTCAAAGAAATTATATCCACGTTCAGCTGTGTAAACGGACTGAGCATTTCCACGGTTCGTTTATAATGCTGGGTTACAATAACTCTTCAGATTTCCAGAGTAACTTTATCATCATTTTTATTTTTTCTTAGAGATCGGCCTAGGTTTACTTGCTTTTGGAGTGGGTTTTCTTTGTCTTGGTGTCCTTTTTTTCTTCGACGGTGCTCTATTGGCTCTAGGTAATGTAAGTGTTCAATATAATTCTAGGCTGCTCCTTAAAGGTTCTTTTCTTAGGCGGAATAGGATGTCTCATTGGGCTACAGAAGGCTTGCACATTCTTCTTTCGCCGTACGAGTTTAAAAGGAGCAGTTTTCTTCTTTGGGGGCATAACCGTCGTCCTTTTTGGCTTCCCTTTCATAGGAATATTGCTGGAAATTTATGGAATGATAAATTTATTCAGGTAATAGTGCGAAAAATAATCTCTAGGTTGTGGGTTTTGCGCATTTTTTCTTATTACGATCGACAGATTTTTCAACGAACAGCCTTTTAAAAAAACTTGCTTGTTAACTTCATATTAAGCTTAAACATGTGTAAGATTCAATGTAATGTGCCTCCTCGGCTCCTCAAATTATTTCTGGTTTGGTCGCATTATTTAGGGATGTCTAGTTATCTGGAAATCAAACACCTCGTACTGTTAATCTCAATCTTTTTGAGATAATAGGGGGCGTCTAAGTGGTTTTTCGTCATCAATACAGAAAGCTATAACCCATTTAGTCGTCTTCAATGTACAACCAGACACAAATATGCATTGACCCAGGTTGACATACCTCATTACCGCCAAATCCACGAAAAAAGTTACTTCAACGTTAATGAAAAGAATTCCATGTAAGGATGTGAAACAGAACGAAGTTAGTTCGTAAAAAGAGAAGTACTAGGTAATTATAATCTCAGTTTAAAAGAAGACAAATAGTGTATACACCGACACCATTGTGATCGATTCTGAGCCATGTCATCCAAAGTGTCCAACCATTTGTTACGATGGTCACGCGGACCCCGACCAAGTAGTCCGCATCTGCCAACATGGCTCAGACTAGAAATTAGTGGCTTCAAGCACTGATGCCATGTTTTGATTTGGCCGCCCCTTAATTCCTTCCACCTCCAGCACTAGTCAAAGTTGAACGCCCTGGTAGTTGGTGTTCAGGCATACGTAACATGTGGCCCAACCATCTCAGTCGATGATGATCCACAACTTCATCAACTGATTTATCAACATTCTCTAATACCCTGTGTCTGACGTCACCATTACTTACCAGATGATCCCAACAGATGCGAGCTATATTTCTAAGACATCTGTCATAAAATGCTGGTAATTTACGAGTATCTTCTACTCTAGTGGCCCAATTTTAGCGACTAGGTTGATTAATATTGTGGTTAAAATCTGGGAGTTGGACGTAGTCCCATTCGACTGGTCACAATCACTTATTGTCCCAATATATAAGAAGGGGTCAAAATCATCTTGTAATAACCATAGAGGGATTAATCTGACTAATATAGCATCTAAAATACTAGCCTCAATAATTATCGGGCGCCTAACTAAGACTTGTGAACTGCAAGCACGAGAAAAACAGGCTGGCTTCAGACCCCGTCGTGGCTGCATCGACCACATATTCACTATTCGCCAGGTTTTAGAACACAGGTATGTTTATCGGAGCCAGACAATGATAGTTTTCCTTGACTTGAAAGCAGCATTTGACTCTGTAGATCGAGAGGTTCTGTGACTGTCTGTCATTGGAAGGTGTACCTCAGAAGTGCATAAACCTTGTGAAGGCTCTTTGCTTGAAGACTACCAGTCGAGTGAGAGCTTATGGCGAACTGTCATTTCTGATTTTACAACCTCAAGTGGTGTCCGACAAGGTTGTCCACTATTCCCATTTTTGTTTAACTTCATTATAGACCTATTGCTGGAAATAACACTCTCCTCGACTGAATTTTCAGGAATTAATCTCCTACCAGGGGGTCCACTAATCGACTTAGAATACGCAGATGACATAGTTCTGTTTGGTGAAGACGCTGATAAAATGCAGAGTCTATTAGTAGCACTGAGTAACAATGCAAGGATGTTTGGGATGCGTTTCTCCCCATCCAAATGTAAATTGTTACTCCAGGACTGGCCTGCGTTAACACCTGAACTAAGGATAGGGAGTGAAGTAGTCGGACGCGTCGACAACTTCACTTATCTTGGGAGTCTGATCAACCCTAATGGGTTGGTGTCTGACGAAATCTCAGCACGGATCCAAGAAGCTCGTTTGGCTTTTGCCAACTTACGTTACCTCTGGCGGAGACGAGATATCCGTCTATCAATAAAAGAACGAGTATACTGCGCAGCAGTTCGCTCTGTTTTACTTTACGGCTGTGAAACATGGCCATTAAGAGTAGATTTCATTTTATTTTATTTGAAAACATAAATATTGGTACAAAGGGGCACTGAATGCATATGTTTGATTTATGTGAGAGCTGTGATACTGCCCAGGTGCCCAAACTGAAGCAGGTAAGATACACGCAAGTTATTAGTATTCGACCACAGATGTGATCATTGCAGCCACGACGGGGTCTGAAGCCAGCCTGTTTTTTTCGTGCTTGCAGTTCACAAGTCTTAGTTAGGCGCCCGATAATTATTGAGGCTAGTATTTTAGATGCTATATTAGTCAGATTAATCCCTCTATGGTTATTACAAGATGATTTTGACCCCTTCTTATATATTGGGACAATAAGTGATTGTGACCAGTCGAATGGGACTACGTCCAACTCCCAGATTTTAACCACAATATTAATCAACCTAGTCGCTAAAATTGGGCCACTAGAGTAGAAGATACTCGTAAATTACCAGCATTTTATGACAGATGTCTTAGAAATATAGCTCGCATCTGTTGGGATCATCTGGTAAGTAATGGTGACGTCAGACACAGGGTATTAGAGAATGTTGATAAATCAGTTGATGAAGTTGTGGATCATCATCGACTGAGATGGTTGGGCCACATGTTACGTATGCCTGAACACCAACTACCAGGGCGTTCAACTTTGACTAGTGCTGGAGGTGGAAGGAATTAAGGGGCGGCCAAAGTGGTTCATAACTTTCTTCCTTCCTATACTATATCCTTATACACAACCTATCTTTTATATACTACCACCACTAAATTAACTACTTCTATGAATTTGGTGTTCATCTTGTGCTAACGGGGTATGGCAACTTGGACCGATGCATAAATGTGCCTGGTCCTACGTTGTAGCTGACTGACTGACTGATCTACTCTTGATGGGCTCGCTTCGCAGCCATAAAGTAAACCAGAGCGAACTGCTGCACTGTATACTCGTCCCTTAGTTGATAAGAGGATATCTCACCTTCTCCATAGGTGACGTTAGTTGACAAAAGCCATTGACGTTTTTTTATTTCCGACTTTCTATTATTCACTCGTTTTGTTACCTACTATTGTCATTGGATGAACCTCGTATTCAGGTCGCGTAGTATGTTTATGTGCTTTAAATATTTGCTTTTGAGTTTCGTGCTGTTTATAGGTGAAGAAAAACAGTGAGACTTTGATAAACTCTTGCTGTTATGTAACTTCAGTTCTGTTCACCTAATTTAGACTACAAACCGGGACCAAATATAAAAAAAATTAGTCGTAGAACAGTAGCGGTTAAAGCTGAAGCATTTATGCAAAGCTCTACTTTTGTAACCCAGAGGTTAATTCAATGTCTTGTCAGTGGATTAATTCGTTTTGTATTCAATATTAGAGTTCATCAAAGCCACCTCGAATTAGATATTAAAGTTAACATGACTAAGCTGTTAATCTGTTGATAGCCGGACATCGTTATGTTATACCATACGAACACAGTAAGTCGCCATTAGCAGAACTGTTAGGATCATTTGTTCAGAGCGAAATCTTCGGTCTCACAGATTACAAGCTGCACCTAATATTTTTATCGGCCCTAATAATATGATCAAAATCCTCTGGAGTTAATTCATTATACTCCTCTTGTTTGAGATTAGGTAATGGCTTTTATGTTAATCTCACGTATAGGCTGCTAATGACTAATGGTCAAGTATTTATTTATTTAAACACATAAATATTGGTGCAAGGGGCACCAGATGCGCAAGATGATGTAATAGATTATAATACTCAATTGCGTAATACGAATAATAACAATAGTTGATTGATTTATCTATTTAAACACATAAATATTGGTGCAGGGGGACACTAGATATATATGCGCCACACAAAACAATGAAAATGGGAAGAGAAAGGGGTAAGATGCATATAAAAAAAGTAATGGTGAGGGAGACTAAAATGCACAACCAGAAGAACTCTCTTAGTTAAGGAGGTTATAACCAATCTTTATGTAGAAAGTAAAAGGTTACGGCAGGATCGCCATTGGCTTCTATTCTGAGCTATGTCTGATAACGTCTCTAGTCACTGTGTAGCACCATCTCTATAACCCCAACCAGGGATTCGTGAAGAACTAAAAGAAGCCAGTCATTTGCAGCTTTATTTTATACCACGACACCATGTCATACACTGACCACCTCTCCGCTTTTTCCAACCAGTCCCAGCGTCGGCAAATAATGCACGTCGTAGAACATGTCCAAGCCACCGAAGTCGGTGTTTCAAGATGGTGACACTAATTGGGTTGTCGTCTCTGCGCCCGAACACACGATGCTGAACCTCTGCATTACTAACATGGTGTTACCACTGGATCTCAGCAATCCTTCATCCTAGTCATGTGGTCCGAATGAATCACGGTTTCATCTCATCTCGTGATACTTAATATTTTCGTCACCATCCTGGTCTTTGTCTCTGAGGAGTCGCGTCAACTGTCTAGTTTAGCTACTCTTTTCTATTTGGTTTTATTCTTCACGACTTCTCACGTTCACTGATCTGACGTTTTGTTAATTTTTGTCGATTGTTTAGGTGGGTTTCCAAACCTATTCACTAGAGACTACTGGAATTTATCTTTCCTTGACCTTTTGGTTTAGATCGCTAGCTAATGTCAATGTTGCTCATACATCTGTTTTAAGATCATGCCGGGCTTCTTAAAGATAAGTGTCTAGTTAGTTTTTTCAAGTATGTCTTTGAAAATCCTACCTCCAGACCGAGTTTGATCAGGTTCTCAATATGCCATATTTCTGCGTTCAATAAAGCACAAATTTGTCCCCAATAAACGGTGAGCGAAGTCCAGACACGCGTTCCAAGACAATAAATCTTCTATCGAGACTCCATCACTAGTTAATTGCAGTGATTATTCTGTCCACCATTGCACCGGTGGCAGGAGTCGCCAGCCTTTCAACTTGACGTGCATTCTTGCTTGGGCTCTGAAACTACTCCTTACAATCGCTGCGTCTAAACGTCTGGCTTTTAGAAGTTTGAAGAGATTTTAGTAACACTTACCTTTTATTTTATTGGAGATACTGTTAGTAAGAGGGCAAGATAACTGCATATATCTTTATTGTCCTGAGTTCTTGCTATCGACTGGAATCCAATCTAAAAGTGTCCACAGTACTTCCTAATATGTTGCTAGACCTGTACCCGTTAAAATGTGAGGTAATGTCTTATATTCAAGTACACAAACAGTAAGTCTCATTGCTTCTCCGTTTTAGCTAGATTCCTGTAGGAATAATGGAGCCTGTTATCAAAAATGAGACACTTTAACCATTAAAAACCCTAATATGTGGTTTGGGGCATTTTTTTTAGGAGAACAGAGTTAACATTTTACATATTCGATTAATTGACTGTGGTCGTACTTGCGGAAGCAAATGAAGCTGAGGGAGAAAAGGGATAATAACACAAATAGACCAAATATTTAGGGATTGAGAAGGGCTTGACGGTGAGCAGTAAATACCACCGAGTACCTGAAACTTCCTAGTAACCGTCATCAAGAAAGGATATCATATTTGTGATACTGAACTAGAATCAAATTGATGTTACTTGTTATGTATTCCTAAAAGCTTGACCATACAGTTCGAGGAGTAACTGTTGGAGGTTCACACAATCGTTTTGTGAGTAATTTTTGTTGTGCTATCCCGGTTTCCCTCAAGCCAACAAAAAATATTGTGTCGTCCGGATCCTATTTAGCACGTAATACCTTTTTTTCCTGCTTAACTGTTGTCTGTCAACTTCTTTGTACCAAGTATTAATACAATACTAGCCATAACATACTAAGTTATATCAAATGATGATCATGTACAATTTAATTTTGTAGTAAATTTATCCCAGTGGCAATCAAATTTTTGTATGGTGTTCCTGTAATCGGTTGGATCTTATGGCTTCCCGGGATTAACGGAGTAAGTTTATGTTTAAAAGTAGCGTAATACTTCCCATTTTCAGCTGACTAATTAAAGTTCGACTTAAAATCGAAAACTAATAGACAAACTCTTTGCCCAAACTTGATATTTTCTCCTTAATACATTGCTAAACTTAGCAGCTTCAGAATATAACGTATACTTAAATGTTTAATCATTAACCTGGGCTTCTATAACGCGCACTTCAAAATCTTTTTACACTGAAGTTATCCACTTTGTCTTATCATTGTCAACTATTATTATTCTATATTTCGTCTGCATCTATTAATATGGCTAAGTTATCGACAATTAGATTGAGACATCTTAACAGTGTAGAATATCTGGTTGGTGTCCACGTGATTATCGTAATCAATGGTAAGAGACTAGATGACATCGGTCAGAACCGTTTGCAAAGACGAAAGTGCACTCATTCCTAGTCTTCTCTAGAATCTGAGTCCCGAAATCCGCTTGTGCATATTCTTTCCTTTTTTGTATGTCCAATCCTTTTCCTACCACTACTGAAATAATTGCATGTCACCATGGGAATTTGATATGAAAACTTGAACCGATGCATATGTGTATGATGATGATCACTTGGCTGAACTAGAGGTAAGTAAATTGACTAACAGGTTTTAACCAAGTGGTTTACCAATAAGGCAAGTCTTGTGTAAGTTGTAATTCCCTTATTTGAACTACGAGCTTTGATCAATTACAAGAACACTAAGTACTTCATGTAGTTCAAAAAAATCACCTGCTTGAGTTCTGGGTTATTGTTATTTAACTATAAGGGTCACTCAAATCTCTTCCATTGAGTTGCACATTCGAACTTTACTTCACCTACTTCGGTTTTGGTTGATGGGTTGTATTTTTAGTCTGAGCACGAATAGTTTAGCTCAAACTCAGATATTAACTTGTACTTGTTTGGTGAGTTACATCACTTCATAAGTTCTTCAAAGCTTACTTCTAATAGCCCAACAATCGTTGTATTTAGTGATGCTACAGCTTCCTTCAGTTAGTTAAAAAGGACCAAGCTCTACAATTTTCTGTGAGCTCCAAGATTATTAAGGTCTGTTTCTTATTTATTACACATTAAATATGGTAAAAGGGGCATGAAAAATCTAATGCGCTACATAAATACAGAGGCAGCATTGTAAAGAGGAAAAGGAGAAAAAGACATTACATTCAAAGATAAAAAAGAAGTATACATGAATATTATGCAATAAAACAATACGGTTCGGTTAAGGATATAGCCAAGAAAGACTTTCCGTTAAGCAGATTACTTTTATTTCTATGAAAAATGTAACAGAAAACTGACAGGGTTGTCTTCGGCTTACAGTCTAGGGCATCTGGTACTGTCTGTTCACACTGACTTCCACCAGCTCCAAGATCCAAACTTCGCAGTCTTGATCTATCAACAAATCCCAGTCTTATAGGGCTTTCTTTGATACGATTGAATCATGTCATAAACCAGACATCACTTTTTTTCAGCCAGTCCCAGCTTCGACAAATAACCCAAAATATGAATGTCGCTGTAATGAAATTCTAAACATATATCCAAGCTACGGAAGCCGGTGTTTTAAAGTCGTAACACCAGTTGAGTTATTGTCACCGTACGCGAACACATTGCCGAACCTCAACATTACTAACATAGGGTTGGCATCTGGTATGAATAATTTTTCCGAGGTAATGTTGATCAGAAGTAGAGGGACACTGAACATTCTCAACTAGGGAAATCCACGTTCTAATGATGCATTGCAAACCTGACTTTCTACAGCCAGATTGACATCAAGATGACAGGCATCATTCTATCTAGGTCGACCCCATCTGTCACATCACCACAACTCAGATACGAAAACATTTGTTTACTTTTAACGGGTCACCACCAAGAGTGAGTTCAGAAACAGGGTCCTGATAGTCTTGCGAAAATAATTTTCAGTTAGAAGATGCTAAGTATCTGCGTAAAACACGTTAATAGGCAGAAGGAATGTAGCTTTAATGTGAGAAGTTACAAAGTATTTACATAACATATATACCTAGCCTTCAATCGTCCATTTCCATCTTTCTGTGTTCTGCCGATGCCGTGTTTTCGCTACATTGAAACTCTTCACTCCGTCTGACAACTGTCGCAACTTTGATGCCATGTTCCGCTACGCACTACTTACAAACATCCTTGCGAGTAGCGTCCACTACACCTGTTGTACTTTTAATTACTGACTGTATGTTGGCTAAGTACAATTTCGATATGTTGAATATCAGTGCACTGTATTCAAGACTAAAGAATCTTTCACCAAGTGATAGACCTACACTACCACAACAAAGTTTATCAGAGTTGTTTCCAGAATATCGTCGATCAAAATATTGAAGACCCTGAATTACAATGTTGATTGCTTCTCACTTAGCAAACACAGCTGAAGGTTGCTCCTTGTCGGAGATCAGCGTTTGTCAACGACATATTTCCTGCACATATCTATTTCTTGAGAATTATTTGTTTTGTTTCCCGATTTCCATTTATAACTAGCTGGGTTTATTTACTTCTATGTTTATTTTCTGGGACAACTGAGCCAAAAAAGTGGCACCAGTTCATATAGTCATCGGCTGTTTGATTAAGTTTCAAGTGTTCGGCCATCGTCTTTCTTGGCATACTGCTAGCAGGTAATGTAGGTTATTCTTAGATTTGGGAACGTCTATTTATGCGTAGTAGAAATCGCGATCTAATATTATTTAAATATTGATAAAATGACATTGAACACACATACCTGCCAGTGACTCCTATGCGAAGCGTTGTTTGTTGGATCTCGTATTTAGTGGAGAACAGGCAATCACCCCATGATGTATTTCTGCTAACCCACGGATGTCTCAGTTGGGTAAAAATCCACCAGCATACTGCGATTCGTTTCATTAGCTTTTGACGTTACTAGACACGTCTCAAAATAGAAGACAACAGGAATCGTTCAAGAGTTCACTGTTGCTTAGCAATGTATCTCTTTAATCATCCAAAATTTATTTCTTTTTGTATGGAGCATACTTTTATTCCATGTCGTATGAATCATTTTTGTTTTAATTGAGTGCTATGCTTCTGTCCATGCGTATTATTTTTAAATATCATACTTTCTTTCTAATGACTTAATCTATTGCCCTTTTTTATTTTATCAACCTTGATTAACTTCCATATACTTTGTAGTTTGTACGTAGACTCAGTCAATCCAATTCAATGGTATGATGATGCATACAAAATGGAACTTTATGTAGATCATGTTTACCTTTTGATGAACACAATATAATGTAATATTGTGAAAACAAGTTTGACTCTCTCTTTGTACATGTTTTAATTTTGAAAATATATAAACAAATTTCTCTACGTTTTCTATACTGTATATGTCTTTAAGTAGTGTTTTCTTTACCCCCCCCCCTCCTGAAAAACAAAAACCTGTTATACGTAAAGTTATTTAAAAAAAATTGATCCTATTTATCCTTTCAAATGTTCATCTTGATACTTTTAAGAGAGAGAGAGAGAGATATTAACGATTGTTCTCTCACTTTTTCTAATTTTAATAAATCATTGAAATATTGTAATGTGTATAAATTTAACACAAATTAGTAAACTGATTGAACAATTACTATCTGCTCGACCGTTGCTGCTACTTTGACATAGTGATCGGGCTTGGCTATCGTGATGAACCAATCAAGCTATACTAGCTGGAACAATCGTTCCTCAAAGTTCTATCATGCCAGACAGGTCGGTTGGAGAGCGGTAAGACTAAAAGCAGCAAACCCAAGGTCTGGAAGCGAAGTCGTACTGTTGACTGTACAGAGGTGTGACGGCAGTAAGGTGTTTCTTTTAGACAACCAGCGTAAAGCGATACTGCCTTCCCACAAGGAAGGGTGGGGTTAGAAAAGGTCGACCCTAAAAATGCACACCTCGACTTATCCCACGGATATCCGTCTCCGGCGGTAAGGTCCTTTGAAGAACGGAGCTAACACTTCAAAAATCCCCCACAAAAAGGCCGTGCGTGACCGGTCTCGAGCAGTTGTCCCTTGAACACTGCGGTCACGCTCCCAGGTCGTTAAGATCAACACTGATCCAACTTCCTTTCAAGGTGTTATGTCTTAGACCTAGGCGGTAGCCAATTGTTATGACTTGATCAAGGTCGTCGCTGATTTGTTATGACCTTACGAATTTAACAAGGACGTAATTCGCGTAAATTATCCACCAATAGAATACGACTTCTACGACCTTCACACTGTGACAATGACGTTCGATTAGTATGAGTAATCTAGCGTCCTTATTCGCCTAACCCGTCCACTTGAGTCCAAAATACCAATAGCAGCTGCTGTAATGCGAATCGTTTATTTCAAACATACTTTATCTATATACCAGACAGGCAGACCACACCATAAAATAGAAAATAATATTTGTACAAAATCAAGCCAAACGTGGCTGGAAGCGTGGGAGACAGTACTCAATAAACCGAGTATAATTTAGGAACAATAAATCATATAATAATAATCAATAGGTCAAAATGAAGCTAATAATAAGAAGAATATAGACATAGATAATCCAGTTACCGAATAGTTATACCATAGGAATATAAATAGAATAATAGTGTAATAAGAGGTCCCGTAAGTTATCAGTACTTACTTTTTTCCTAGTATATAACACAAGGTCCCTCAAGATATACCCTTCCACGGTGTGGGCAGCCTGGAAGTGATATTAGCCCTCATACCCGTAACTGCACTGACTGATCTGTCTGCACGATTTCACTGAAATTCTTATTCAATGGACACAAACAAAAGAAATCCAACTAAGTGGTCTACTAGTTTCAGTAGATAAACATCAAAATAATGTTACTCTAATGTACTATTCATTTGTCTTGCGATTAAAAATCTAGTGAAATTCGAACCATATCAAGAATTCAAATAAATCAACATATAAAAATGATGGTACTAAGCTGTTCATGCGTTTCAACAGTTAATGCAATGCCAAAGTTATGCATGTATCTACGAATAGTTATCCGTCATCAATTCAGAAATAAATAAAAAGCCTTTTCATAAACGCTTTATACAACTACTAGGATATCGCTCTAACCTATAGAAATCGATTCACTATCTTTCGCTTAACAGAACACCATGACCTCTTTAAACATCGTCCCGTTCGACCATATATTTTCGATGAGAATCCGACTTGTTTTGAAGAGGAGATAATAGTGAGACCTTGATGTTCAGACGGAACATTAGTAATACTAAGAATAAATATGAAAGATATATATTTTACATTTCGTGGTAAGTTCATAGCCGACATAAATCTTAACGTACTGCAAAAGTTATAGTTAACCAATGTTTTATTAAGGTAGATATTTGATAATCTTTCAAATAATTTGCCACCGAAGCAGTTTAAAAATTAGTTACAGTTCTTAGATTCTTCACACATGAATATAGATGTGGCCTATTTGAATTTTGAGGAGGTATGGTTAATTGTCCAACGGACTAATATTAAACTACCATTACTACTGCTTTAAATATCCACTAGAAGTGCTTGATCGATCATATTTTACGTTAATTAAATATATAAAATCCATGGAGAATCTAGAAGGACTGTTTTATTAGTTTGGAATAGGATAAATTTTATTTATTTAAACACATAAATATTGGTACAAAGAAGCGCCAGATACATATGTGCCGCACGAATCTCATTCGATTTGTGTGATGGTTGTGATACTGCTCGAGTGCTCAAACTGAAGCAGATGGTTTTTTAGGGGGTCACACCCGGAGCCTTTGACCTAAAGGTCTAAATCACAAGGCAGTGGAGCATCGTAAAAAGATGCAGTCTCATGGTAGCCGGTGACCAACAGTTGGTTCATACGCCATTCGTTCCTTCAGGATACTGGGACCCATGTGTACCATTGATTTGGAATCAGGGTTTTCCAACTCCCCTAGGTGGACTCGCAGTGTCCACCAACCCTGTTAAATCGCCAGACATTCGCTTTCCGTCCTCTCAATTTCGTAAACAACACCCATGGTGCGAGAAGGCCGTGAGTAGGATTTCCATGGTAGAGACTATATACGCGTGGCTATGTGAGAGCATTTCGAGTGGGAGAGCGAACTCTCCCCACTCTCGGCCGTATCAGGTCATTTGGGGGCAATAGGATAATATCTGTGTAGAAAATGATTTCAAAGTTATAAATATCTGAAGAATAGTAAAGTTTTGATGGAAACGATTTATTTAGATTATTACTGAATAGTATTAATCAAGTCTACAAAACAAGGATCGTCAGATTTCTCTACGTTTCATAATTAGGCTGAAAGATTATATTACATGAAGTTGTCAGAAAGACATAATATTATAAGGACAACTACTGAGCATCTACTTTGTATGTACAAGCCCTTATTTTATTAAACGATCAAAATTATAAGCAGAATGGTTGGGGGGAAATATGATTCAACTACAGTTTTAAGATCTCTCATAACTAAGCATTAGAAAAAAATAATACAATATAAAGAAAATATTACATCTTTCACTTACTGTACCTTATAGACAGTATATTATTTGAATAAAGTCAAAACACCAAGTGAGGCGGAATAAAGTATTCATTTTGCTTCGCAGTTTCGCTTCAGCTGCTCATAACCGTATTCGTATTAAAGTGTAATATTAAGATACAATAATAATAATATAAATTTACAAAGGGAAAGAATTGGACTAGTAGCGATTTTAAGTATAGGTATAAACATGTGTGAGGTCATCTGAAGATGGAATTCAGGAACATGAAGGCAGTAACTAGATGAAGTTTGAAAACCATTGAGGTGTGTAATAATTCTAGATTTGAAGTGTACATAAGTTTTAAGTAGGTAAATGAACTGTAGATGAAATAACAATTAGTTTGGTGGAAACTGTATGACAAGAAAATACAGTAATTATAGATGATCTTGATGAATATGAATTTACTAAGGCAGTGGTAGATTGATATTTGTCTGTCTGAAAACAAATCCGGTAATCGCTATTGCTTTGGCGAAACATAAGGAAGCTGCATCGCTTTTAAGGATTGGTAAACGTTAATAATCTGTCTGTTACCAATTAGGTGCTAAAATGTTGTAGAATCACATTCTTTGGAACATGCTAGTGAATATATATACACTTTTGGACATACATAAATGTAGTTGGAGGTACTGAGAGAAGAGGACTTATTGATTTTTTTTTTCAAGGAAGCAGTTTATTTCATGTAATGTGACTAACTTTGTTACTGAATGAATGATCTTCATTGCACTATTTATTTTGTCAATAATTGTTTCAGTAACTTCATCTTCATTAAAGCAAAGATATACGAAGCAAGCTTTCTTTCAAGTTGTATCATACTTAAAACATCCACATGTTTTGATACACTTCTCAGTGTTACACTTCAATACGAATACGATTGTAAGCAGCTGAAGAGAAAAACACGAAATAACATTAATTTATATTATGCTGCTTCACTTGTCATTTGGGTTTCATTCAAATTTCTATAGGGAACCAATTGTATGGAAATTTTCAAGAATTGCTCCCCTGTCAGTATAATATTACTGAATATGATTTCATAGAAATTTTAGAAGCTTCATGATCCTGTAACCGATAGAGTTGAGTATTACAAGGAACAGAGGTCACATATTTTATTGAGTGTTTCATCATTCGTATAAAACAACCTCATTACTATTGGTGCGTCTCGTTCACTAGAACGATTTTGTGAATGTATCTTGTCAAGTTTAAGTTTAATGAAAAGTGTTAAGGGTTTAGATTTGTTTAGTTGTTATTAACACGGGTTTATATTTCATCTTTTTTATTTTACATATGAGCATATGTGGAAGCAATTTCTAAGAGTTTCTGACCGAATCTTTGTTCATCTGTCATATTACCTGATGCAGGAGAAAATGTACTACTCAATTCACGAAATGTCATAGCAATACGTCGGGTAGTGATATCTGTACGCCTAATTTCATGTTGCCAGATGTATCGTGCAGGACCACTAACAACCACAAGGGAACGTCTGTCCAGCAGCACACGTACGCAAAACTGCAAAATGAAAAAATTATATATCAGGAAGGAAAGAGTCCCTGAATATTATAAGAAAGCTCATAAATTACCTACAGAAATCTTCATAATGAGGACAGTTGAAAGCAGTAGGATAGATTAATAATTAACACAAAAACAATACTTCTAGAATATCTACAGCATTGGATTTCTTTCATTATGTGTTGATTACTTTACAATCATATTACAGTCGATGTTATTTAGATGAAGTAAAGAACTTGAATCATGTTTGGTATTAGGCTTAAACAATCAGTCTATTTAATTAATAGTTAATCGGTACTGGGTTTGCTGAACCGGGAAAATTTTCGTAATAGATGTTTACTCATGATAAAGACACTGATCGTCAGTAGTTCCATTTATTTATTTAAACACAAATGTTAATAAAAAAAATGGCACCAAACACATATGCACCACATACATGGTGTTGCCACTGGATGTTAGCAATCCTTCGGAGACAACGATGATCAAACACAGAGAGTCGCCTAACATCCTAAACTCGGAGAGGTCAGGTTTCACAAGCACATGGGAAAACTGTTCTCATTTACGCGTTGTAGAT